GGGTCATCTTAAGAAAGAGAAAGTAGAGGCTCAAAGAAATGGAGTGATGGGTGGGAAAAGTCACTTGGCTGGGGGTAAAGCAAGGAGTATCTCCCCCTCCCCCCACCACCCAACTGTTGGACATGTCCCAGGGTATCCAGGAGACACACAGACATCGTTAGTCAGATGGAGTATGGAAAAAGGGAGCTAGGTCTCAGGCTCTTTAGCATTTAATCTTGGGTGAGTCTGTCAGGTGTTAAAGGGTTTTATTGTTGTTCTTTTCTGTGGGTGGTCCTGGGGATAGAACGTAGGACCTTGTACACTGCTCTGCCACCCCCATCTCTAAAAAATCTTAAAGATATAGGACTTCAGCAGTCTGACATTAAAATCCAGAGGGCAGATTAGGGAACTAGTTTTAGGAAGAAGGAAACAGAGACTCAAGTATGATTTATTCAAGTTCCATAGCTGTCTCCAAAGTCTGTCTTTCTTTTTATGCCAGTCTTTGGGCTTGGACTCAGGGTCTGGGAACTGTCCCTGAGCTTCATTTGCTCCAGGCTAGAGCTCTATCACTTGAGCCACAGCACCACTTCTGGCTTTTTCTGTTTATGTACTGCTGAGGAATTGAACACAGGGCTTCATGCATGCTAGGCAAGCACTCTACCCTTAAGCCACATTCCTAGTCCTAAAGTATGTCTTTTTATTCTACAAGCTATTAGAAGCTCTGGAGGCTTGATGTCTTTGATAGCCTTCTTTCAGTTCTTCCTTTCCAGACTCTTTTTTTAATATCACCCCGTCCTGGGAGCTTTCCCCAATTGCCTTCACCTTCTCTCCTGAAAATTGGTATCTCAGCATAAGTGATGCATTGCACAAGTACTGTTGGGAGGGGCACAACCCCTAGGATGCAGAACTCTGTGCTCACATTCATCATTTTGGTGATTTGGGGTTTTCTTCCAGGTGAAAAATGAGGGGGGAGCCCCCAACAGGTCATGTGGAACCTGAGATTTAGGAGACTCAGGCTGGAACTCTGGTTTTGCCATCAACTTCAATGTGTCTCCTCCATTTTGGACTTTGATTTCCTGATCCACAAAATGAAAGGCTCAGGCCAGAAAAGAGATGGCAAGTCAGTTTTAGCTCATGAGCTCATTCTTGTCAGCTGGTGCTGGAACGCTGTGCTGAGAGGGACTCTGAAGGCAACTCTGAGTTCTGAAGGAAAAAGATAGACTAGTGATGTCTGCCCTGTGCAGAGATTAGGAGAAATAGGAGGAGTCTCAGTGCCTTCCAGCTTCAATCCAGCATTCTGTGATTGATTTCTTGGTCTTTCATGTTGAAAGAGTGGATGACTGTGTTCATCTTGGGTGCCTCATAAGTTGGTTGGCTTCATGATCACAGAGACCAGGTGGCCCAGAGGACCTGACAGGTCACTGCAACCTGCTATTGTCAGGATCGGGAGAGGGTTGGAGAGCCCACAAAATAGTGAGAGCCCCTGGCAGAGGACTCATTGATTCCTGTGGAGCTTAGAAGGCATCTCCTGAGTTTGGGTGGGTGGGAAGTCAGTAGTTCCTTGTCCCCAGAGGATAAAGCAGAACTACTTCCTCTGCTGCCACAGAAGTAGAGGGGAGTTAGCAGGGAGAACGAGAGAGAGAGAGAGAGAGAGAGAGAGAAAGGGGGGAGGGAGAGTTGTCTCTGTGGTTCAGTGAGGTCATGGGAGAGTTTGTACTTACTTGATGTACTGGTCCAGATATGCTTGGAGACAGGAGAAGTGACTTTGGGTCAGAAAAGTGACTTTCCATGGAACAAACGTAATTGAGTCAGTAATTGTTGAAAGCCATCAGTATGTGACTGCCATATTCTAGGCCCTGCTGCTCCCTCACCACTCTGCCCTCATCCCCACCTCCTACCCCTCTTCCTAAGCACCCAGTGGCCATCTCTGTCTTTACCTCTGGCTGTCCAGAGCCAGACTGGAGTCAGATCCCTAGTGCTTAGCCCTCCACTGCTGCTTGCACTCACAGATTAAGCTTTCTCAGCAGCAGGATTTTTCCAGTGCACCTAATCTGATCTCTTTATTTAACACATAGATGAGGAAGCTAAGACCTAGATGCCCACATAAGGAATCTGTTCCAACTGGAATCATACATCCTGATTCCTAACCCACCTTCCCCAGGTGCTCTATGAGGATTCCTGGAGCAGCAGTCAGGCCTCAGGGCCTTGGGTCCACCTTAGGAAATGGCCTGCAGGCTGGGGTACCCAAACATTTATCAGTTCTCCAGGTCCCCTGGGTGATCCCTGGGAGGGTGAAGATGAGCAAATCGCTCTGGATGGTGCAGGGTCCTGGATGTCAAGCCAGCTGCTGGTGCTTCCATTCATTATTCATGAGGAAATGTGAGCACACAGGTTGGCAGGGTCAGGAATTCTGTCCCTTATCCTATCTCTTCTCACCCTTCAGGTGACACTCGCAAGAATCCTGGAGGCTCACCTGCAAAGCACCAGCTTATGTAGCTATAATCTGGGGGGAGGGGTTCTGCCCTTAGATGCTCCCGCCAGCTGAGGGGAGATGGTTGGAAAGAGAATATTCTCATCACATTGCACTTGGTGTCTTCTCAGAGCCCAGAGACCCAGGGCCAACCCTGAGCTTGAAGGATGGGTGCTCTGAGCATTCTTGCCTTTCGGTAAAAACAGGAGAGCTGTGTTCTAGTCCACACCTTGGCACTTCCTAGCTGAGCAGGGTGAGACAGGCAGGTCCCTGTATGTCTGAGGTTCACTTTTCTCATCCACGGTATGAAGATAACAAAGTACCGCATGGAAGAACTGTAAGGAACAAATGAGTCTTACCTTGGCAAATTCACAATATCAGATAAGCCCTGTCCCATCTTCCACCATAAGACCATGAAAACTGGCACCAGAGCTGGAAACTAAAGAGAAGAGGTCATCATAGGCCATAGTCCAGGGGGACTTTCCATTAGTGCAAGGTTGATGGAGAGGGTGGAGAAATATAATCCGGGCCTCTGAATACAGCACAGAGTGAGTGAGAACACACTAGATAGCTACAATAGCTACAAAGCAGGCAAAACCAGGCATTGACTCATCTCTGCTGTCAGCCGTAATTCTCCAGGCTGGCAGGAGCCATGCTAATAGTGAGACCAGGTGACGGCTTTCGGCTGTCTGGGGACCATCTTCCTCACTGGCCAGAATGGTGACTTTCCTTTCCCACCCTCATTTTTCCCCCCTTTTTTTCTGTCCTTTTGAAAAGGGTAATAGGCCTGAGAGCAAAGGATCTATCAAGCAAAGTGTCCTAAAGCCTGTGAGGCACGGCTACCCCAGAAAGGGAGCAGGCTGGGACAGAGGCAGGAGGGTCCTGGGTTCTGAGAAACGTGTCTTAGGTGGTAGCTTTCTTCTACTCTGCTTGAGATGGCAGCTAAGAGGTCGAGGCTGACCGTTGGAGACCCCACTTCTGTGCAAAACCGGGCTGCAAAAGCTGCTGTCCCCTCCCCCCAGAGTGGTTCTAGAGCCTTCTGTCCTCTTCCTCAGCACTTATCGTAACCATCATTAAATATTTAATGGTATAATTAGTTATTTACTGTCTGTGTCCCCTCCTGGACTGGAGGCCGTGGGAGGGCAGGACCACACTGGCCTGGCTTGCTTCTATATTCTTAACGTTCAGCAGTGGCCTTGGAATTTTAGGAAATTAAATATTTGTTGAAGGCAGCTAATGAGGAGAGTAAATTTCTATACTTTGGAAAGGAATTTGGCAATGTAGTCCAAGAATACGGGGAAAAAAATATTCCCTTGGTATTAGGCAGGATGCTTTTGGATAGAACAGAGAATTTGGATTCAAACTGGCTGAAGCAATGGAAAATAGATTCTCTCTCAGAATTGGAAGAGTAGAGAAAGGTGGGGCTCCAGGTGTGGCCTGTCATCCTTTGTCAGGCCACGTCTGTGTACCTGAGTGTACTGTGGTGCACTGGCTCAGCATTCTCAGCGCAGAGTCCATCTGGGACTGGGCTTCTCTGGGTCTTGGGGAGGAAGGGAGAGGGGGGGGGAGAGAGAAGAGAAACTTGGACTTGATTCAAGAGGTAACTATTGAAATAGTTAAGTCAATTGTGTTACCTCTATATGGTGGACTATTATGGTGACATTAAAACATTTATACAAAGTATTAATAATACTGGGAAATACACATTAGGTTAAATGAAGAATGCCAGGATTTGCCATTGTATTTACACTGTGAGCCCAAGTATTTCTTTAAGCACATAGAAAGGAGCTGGGTTAAAATGCTGACGGCGGCTACCTCTGGGCAGTGCGGCCAAGGGTGATTGTTTCCTGCTGCTTTAGACATCTCTGGACCAGCCCGCTCCCATGGGAGGGCACCTTCCCCTCCACAGTCTGCCCAGATTGGAGCCCACTTTCTTTTCTGTTCTTATTATTTGCTATGAGGGTAATCATCCCTAATACATACTGAGTCTTCTCTCTATGGCTTGACATTGTGCTTGGCATTTTACATGCACTATCTAATTTAATCCCTGCCGCAGCCTTATAAGGTAAGGGTTATCTGTCATTTTATTGAGGTGGTTACTAACATTCCACAAATGGGATCACAGGCTATCCTACTAGTGGGCAAAGGCCTTTGAAATTCAAGCCCAGGCCATCCGACTCCACAGAGTCATCTTCGGGATTTTTAACATCTGTGTGAAGGAAACAAGAATAGTCCTGTTTTAGTGTGTGTGTGTGTGTGTGTGTGTGTGTGTGTGTGGTGTTCATCTGTATTGGGCCCTTGCTGAGCTGAAGACCAAGCCCAGTGCTTCAAGCAGGTGAGGCAAGGGTGAATAGCCCTGTTTCTTGAATCAGACCATGTGCACATGCTTGAGACATATTTGTCCATTTCATCCTTACAGACTCAGAGAGGCCAAATAACTTGCCCTAAGTCACACAGCTGGGAAGGGGTGGGGAAGCCGTGGAGTCCAGAGTTGCTGGGGTCTGATGTGGAATCCCTTTGCCTTCCATTCTCCACTCACCTTCAGAGTTGCCTGAGGCTCTTCAGAGTCGCCTGGGGGACCATGTTTAACGGGGAGCCTGGTCCAGCCTCGGCTGCAGCCGCTAGGAATGTTGTGAGGAGCTCCAGCATCAGCGGTGAAATCTGTGGATCCCAGCAAGCTGGAGGAGGGACAGGGACCACTACAGCTAAGAAGAGGCGCAGCAGCCTGGGTGCCAAGATGGTGGCCATCGTGGGACTGACCCAGTGGAGCAAGAGTACACTGCAGCTTCCCCAGCCTGGTGAGGGGTCGGGCACGGAGGGGTGGGGTGGGGACTGCCTTGAGTCTGAACGGGTGGAAGGAAGTCCACCCCACCCCTCCCTGCTTTCATGACAGGCGCTGCTCTAAGACCAGTGTGTGCGCTGGGCCTGGAATCCTCAGGTCACCCCATCTTGTGATACACGGGCATATGTGGACCCCATATCACAGGGGAGCCAGCCCTGTCCACCCAGACTCCCCTCACTGTGGCATTAGCTCAGATACCAGCTGGCTTTATTTTAAACATCTCTTCCTGCTTATTTTGCTCTGAGTAACAACTTCCCTAAGAAACCTTCAAATGGGCAGCTTCCCTGGAGTGTGAGGGGCAGGGATGCCCATGGAAACTCCCACCGGGGCTGCGGAGAAGGGGCTTCTCCAGGTCTTAAAATAGATTTTGCAAAGCCTTTCACACACACACATGCGCAATCTTTTCCAGCAGTTGCTCTGCTATGTGCTTTCTGCTCCAGGAAGGGCCCAATGGGGAAGGACTTAAGGTTACTAGTGCCTTAGGATGGACGGTAGAGGCCTGGGACAAGGGGGTAAGGAGGGTGGAGATACAGATATCCAAGACTTGGACTGGGATAAGACCAAGATGGAGTTAGAGTTAGGGAGGTAAGAATAGAGATAACCATAACGGTGCCAGGCACCAGAGGCTCAAGCCAGTAATCCTAAGAGGTTGAGATCTGAGGATCAAGATTTGAAGACAGCTTGGAAAGGAAGGTTCATGAGACTCTTATCTCCAATTAATCACCACAAAGCCAAGAAGCAGAGCTGTGGCTCAAGTGATAGAATAAAAAAAAAGCTAAGGGATAGCACACAGTTCTTGAATTCGAGCCCCAGTTCCAGCACCCCTACCCCCCATCCTCAGAAAGACAACAGAAGTTTAACAGAGGTGTTAGACTCCAGGGGTCTGTCTCTGGGAGACCAAGCTGAGCAATCCAGCTTCAGACTCAAAAGCTTTTTGTGCCCTCCACGTGACTGGGAGAGAGTCTTCCAAGGCCACAGCAGGGACTGAGTCACCGGGAGAGGCTGCAGCACTCCTCCTCAGCTGCACAGACAGCCAGCTGGGGGGGAGCAGACACCAGGAAGACCTTTTGCCTGGGAAGGAGATGAGTGATGTTGGGGCTTCTGGATCGCTTGTCTCCGTGGTATGTAAGGACATGGCTGAAGGCCCGGGGCCTGGGGCCAGGGGAATTGCCCAGATGCCCTTCTAACTGCAGGTCCCTGTGAATCATCTAATCACTGAATGTCAGAACAGGAAGGGCCCTCGGGGTCAGCCTGCATGTACTCATTTGTCTTGAGGCATCCAGAGCCTGGGGAGAAGGTGCTTTTTGTAGAAGGACCTCAGACTGGCCCTCAGAGCCGCACTCTGTCATTTACTGGCAAGCTGTTTCAGGTCTGCAAGCCTCCCCCTTTGTTTATAGAATGAGGACAACACAGATATTGTGTGGAGCTGTCCTAGGGATCAAATGAGAGTCTCTGCGAAAGTACGCAGCTTCATGCTTGGCACACGGGAGACATTCAGCAAAGTGCTGGTGCTGTTATTGTTCTTGCAGTCACACAGTAGAGCCAAAAGAGGAGTGAGCTTTTTGCCTCCATATCTGTGTGGCGAACCCTCTCTCATCCACACTCCTTCCCATCTCCCAAGTCTCAGGTGCACACTAGTGTCCCAGCTTGGAGCTCTGTTCTGGGTGGCACAATCTGGCACTACAGGGCCAGAGAGGGCATTCATTGGCCCTGGAATCCCTACCCTGGGAAATGAGCCCAGAACAAAGCCCCTCCTCCCCCACTAACCCCAGTTGGGATGGCTTAGTTGCCTACAGAGTTGAGCTTGTGTGGGGTTGGGAGGAATTCATCTCCTGGCTGCTGCCTTCCCAGAGCCTCCTTCCTCCTGGCTTATCTGGATTCTTCATTGACTACAGCCCTGCCCACCCTTCTTGGTTTCAAAGCCTCTCCTCAGCTTAGCCTGATGTTGTACCAGCCTCCTCTCTAGTGACCCTTGCCTCCTTGCCCCCTTCCAGTTCAACCCTCATGTTTTCTACAATGACTGGACTCCAAAAACTCAACCCTGATGTTCCAGAGGGCTCATCCCAACCCTGAAACCTTCCCCGAGACTTGTGGGAAAAGTCTCTTTCACACTGGGTCTCAATTTCCTCTTTATAAAATGGAGTTTAGAAAAATGGTCTTCCTCAGCTTCCTTTGGTGTTCATTTTCTGTATAGTAGGGGCAATGAAGAGGTTTGTATTGGAGCTTTGGGGGGTCCCACAACACAGGTGGATTTTGACCTGGCAACCCAAGGGACATCCTTAGGTAGACCTAGCCCCTAAGTTAGGAGTTTGTCTTTTCAGTACCACGGATAGCGGCCCTGCTCTCCTGAGCATTTTTGGGTTCTGGGTCTCAGGACCCAGGATCATTTTGGAAGACACTATAGGGAATGCTACTGCAAGCTGTGACTGTCCTTCCCTTGTATGTGATAGATGAGATGGTTCCTGGATCTGTCTCCAGGGGCCACAGAATTATTGCAAGTGACTTGGCCTGCTTCTCTAGACAAGCTACATGAAGTTATTCTCGAGATCAACAAAGGTTACAAGTGGTCAGGTAGGAAGCCAGTAGAGAAATTATTTCTCTGAGTTTGCAAGACCTTTCCCCTCACCCTGAAGAATGAATTTTATCTCTGCTGAGTCACATCTCAAATAGACGAGGCATTGGAAAGGGATAAAAGAAGTAGCTGTTCAGCAGATTAAAGAGTCTGAGGGCCTGGAGTCTAATCCTAGTTCTTTGGGGACTAGGACCTCATGATCCCCATGTGTGAAATGCTGAAAGGACTAGAGAAGTACCTAATATTTCAGGATTCCAAGTCCCCCACTCAGGGGCTCACATTGGGTTGTGCAGTCTTGTCTAAGAAGGCAATTTCACTCCCAAATAGGTCAGAGCTTCCCCAAGCTCTAAAAGAGTGTGTGTTGAGGAGGTGAAGATGAGGGGGAGGAAGGAATATCTTGCTGCCCCCACAACCATCTGTTTCCTAACTGAGGTAAAGGGGATTGTGGCAGGAGCCAGGGACAGCCATCATTTTCCGCAGCCCTCTCTGTGTGTGGTGGGTCATAACATGCCATGTGTGGGTTTGCATGGCTGTGTAACTGAGCAGACAAGTTTAATTTGACTATATGCTTAACTGTTCCACAGAGGACATTGTATACACGTGATGAAGGCCTGGTAGGACTGTTCATGACTGTGGGACTTTGCATACTTGTGCACATGATCTTGTATATGAGATGTTTCTTAATTCCTATATGAAAGGGTGGCACTTGTATTTGATAATGCCCCATCCATAAGTAGGTATGAGGTGACACCACCCTGTGTGCACGTGAGACCGACTGATTGATGGCCTCATTGATTCATGGCTATGCTAGTTACTCCAATAGCCCCGAAGTTGAGCTGAGGTTACAGAAGATAATCTTCAATTATCACTTCTCCTTCCCTGCCTCTCATCCACTGTGATACTCAGTTTTCCCTCCACTCCAGTAGGGACTTTCTAGAAGATAAGTAGGATAAATCAAGAGGAATAAAGTCCTTCTTCTTCTAGACTGGGGTCTTGAACATCCATCCCTTCCCTAACCCACCACTGGAGGTGGGTGGGAGAGAGGATCACCAAGGTAACCAGCGTACAGGGCTATGCTGTCTGCCTCAGCCCAGGCTTCTGCTCACTCCTGTAAGGCAACTCCACTCTTCATTTGTTTGGGCCTCTAACCAGAGACAGCAGCAGATGGCTCAGTTCCTGTCTGAGCCCTACGTCCCCATCAAGTTTCTCCAGCAGGCAGGCTTCAGCAAGGGAAGCCCCTGCAAACCCCTAACTCATTCTCTGTCCCCTACCCCTCCCGCTCAGGAGGAAGCACGTCTAGAGAGACCACGCTGCCATGCTAAGGGGGTTGCTATGGAAACCCAGGCAGACTGGTGCTGCTCAGAGAGGGAAAGTGCCCTGTGTTCCATGCTAGGCTGAAGAGGGGGCTGGGGGCCCTGAACAGGGGCACAGAGACATTGAGGTGTGTGTGTGTGTGTGTGTGTGTGTGTGTGTGTGAGAGAGAGAGAGAGAGAGACATTGAGGTGTGTGTGTGTGTGTGTGCTTTACCTCTGGGGCGCTTCTGCAGACCTTTCTCCCAAAGGCTAAGTCAGTTCAGGTCAAGCTGGCAGTCCCTCTCCAGTCTCACCTCTGAGGGCCTCTGCAACTCACCACGCATGCCTCTCTGCACATTCAGAACCACCTCAAGAAGGGGACTTTGGCCAGGCACCAGTGGCTCACACTTGTAATCCCAGCTACTCAGGAGGCTGAGATCTGAGGATTACAGTTCAAAGCCAGCTCAGGCAGGAAAGACCATGAGACTCCTCTCTCCAAATAAACCACTAGAAAACCAGAAGTGGCACTGTGGCTCAAGTGGTAGAGCACTCACCTTGGGCTGAAGAGCTGAGGGACAGCACCCAGGCCCAGAGTTCAAGCCCCACGACCGACCAAAAAAAAAAAAAAAGGAGGGGACTTTGTTTGGGTGGCCAAGCTTTGTGGGGTTTTCTGGGGCCTGGGAAGGTATCAGAGGGGTGGGGTGGGTGATTTGAGTGTGGCAGGGTCCCTAAGGAGACCTGGCAAGAGGAAATAAGATAGATCTTCCAAAAGAGAATGGGAGGAACGGGTTTGGAGCAAAGGCTGAAAATCTTCAGGGAAGCCTATAGGAGGAGGGCAGGACCCTCCCCGACTCCCAACTTCATTCTGTTTTTGTTTTTGTTTTTCTCTTATGCCTGTCCGAGGGCTTGAACTTATGGCCTGAGCGCTGTCTCTGAGACTTTGTGCTCAGGGCTAGCACTCTACCACTTGAGCCACAGCATCACTTTTGGCTCTGTGTGTGTGTGTGTGTGTCTGTGTCTGTGTGTGTCTGTGTGTGTGTGTCTGTCTGTCTGTGTGTGTGTGTCTGTGTGTGTGTGTGTGTCTGTGTGTGTGTGTGTGTGTGTGTGTGTGTGTGTATGGTTAATTGGAGATAAGAGTCTCATGGGCTTTCCTGCCTAGGCTGGCTTCAAACTTTCCTCTTCAGATCTCATCCCCTGGGTAGCTGGGATTACAGGTGTGAGCCACCAGCCCGACTCCCCAATTCATTCTACAACTTCATTCTACATCTATGGCTGGCATTCTTTCTAGTCTGCTTTGTCTGCGTGGCAGGGTGGGATGGCACACCACACTGCAGACCAGCTCGGGGTGGGGGTGGGGGCCTAAGCAACGCCCCGCCTACAGTGAGAGCCCTGCCCACCTTGCCCACCACCTGCACCTTCCCAGAGGGTGACTTTGGCAACACTCTCCAAGAAACCACAACCCGTGGTCTGACCTTGTTCCCTCTCTCTTCTTGGGATATGGGGGGGGTCCCAGAAGGGGCTACCAAGAAGCTGCGCAGCAACATCCGGCGGAGCACGGAGACCGGCATCGCGGTGGAGATGCGGAGCAGGGTCACGCGCCAGGGCAGCAGGGAGTCCACAGACGGGAGCACCAACAGCAACAGCTCCGACGGCACGTGCGTGCGCACCCTGGGGGGCCGGTCCTGCCTGTGGAGCTTTTAGCCCACGAGTCTGGGCTCCTCTGTGCCTCTGCCTCCCTTGTCCCCGCCTCTCGATGCCTGGTGTCTAGGTTCTAGGTCTGATTATTGCTCCCTGGCCCCTGCTCCTCATGCTGTTCTGCTCCAGGGGAGAAGGGTGGAAAGGAAAAATCTTACTAAACCTCAAACAACTGTCCTGGCTGAGATGAGTGGAGCTTTCATTTAGTAGCCTGCTGGGGAGGAGACTGGACTAGATCGCTGTGTTTTTCAGACCATTGGTGGTGACTTAGATACAGAAGTAAGATCTCTGTATTAAGTTAAAACTAGCCTTAGAAAAAGAAATGGGAAGGTCAGGTGAGCCCTGTGTGGTAAGAAAGCATTACTTGATGAACTTGCATCTCAGTTTTTTATGTATAGATACACATAGGCCTGCGGTGAGCTGTGATGTTAAAGTCTTATCTTACAAGAGAGTCACTACGTTAGATATTCTCCTGAATCAATGATCTGCTCTAATCAATGCAGATCGTTTTATGGCTAAGATTCTCTGCTTCTGTTTTAGTAAGACCCTCTAATCTCTACTCTGATGATTCTGTGGCTTCATCATTTAATATTCAGTGATTATGTCTCTCACTAATGAGATGACTCTTGGTACCGTTAAGAGTCCTAGATTGGTTCCTGGACCCCCATTCCCCCACCCACAAAAATCCATGCATTTGAAGTTCCTCATATTAAATAGTATAGTATTTGTATCTGTATTAACCTGCACACATCCTCCTGAATATATCAGATCATCCCTAGGCTATTTTTAACATCAAATACAATCATAAATGCAATATAAATAGACTAAAAATTTTTGTTGTTGTTGTTGAGACAGAGTCTTGTTATACAGCCCAGGCTAGCCTTAAACTCTCCATCCTCCTACCCCAGATTCCCAGGTTGTGGGATTACAGGTTTGTGTAGACTACATTGTTTAGGGTTGTAAACAGAAAAATGTCTGTGTATGTTTAGTACAGACACAACTTTTTCTCTGTCACATTTTCCATCTGTAGTTAGTTGAATCCATACATTGGGATCACAAGGATAGCAAGGGTTAACTGTACCTTCTTCCTTGAATGCAAAGAGCCGTTACATCTTGGCCAGTGCAGAGCATCATTGGGCATCTCTGAGCAATGATTCCTACACTGGAAGTGATAGTTTAGCACTTGTGATTGCCCTGATGGATGTAGATACCATCATTATCTCTACAAGTAAGGAAACGGAGGCACTTTACCCTGAGTCACAGCTAGAAAGTGGTGGTGGAGGCAACATTGGCACCCCAGTCATTTGACACTCTTACCTCAATTCACCTAAATCTCTACACCTCCTTAGTAAGCTCTGAACTTCGGTGACCTTGAGAGTCTACATTTCTTCATTTAACCTTCTCAAATCCCAGTAGCCTACGAATGTGATACTAGACTACTGCTGGTCATAGTCCATAGACATGAGTCACCTCTTGGGAATAGGGGTGGTGGCTGAGCTACCCCTTACAGGCTCTCTCTGATAAACATACATTGGCCAGTGGGAGTTCTAGGCCCAAACTCTCCAACAAAGGAGTCTTCCCTGGCTAGCCTTTTAACTCTCTAGCCAGGTGGTATTTGTACTTTGTTAGGCCCGTTGTGGGCCCAGAGCAAGCTTGAGCCAACCCTCTCTCACCTGTCCTTCCCCTGATGGCCACACCCAGAACATTCAGGCTTAAGAATGTGGAAAGGCAGCCTTTCCCCTGGGTAACAACACAATAACTCTCATTTGTTGTGTCCCATTAGTCCGGAACCTTTTCTGCATCATCTGCCCCAACCCACACCATAACTCTGGATGTTCTGGTTTACAAGCAAAACAAGTGTCTTACCTCTCAGAGCCTTTGTTTTCTTATCTGTGAATGTAGATAATGGTTCCCACCGCATGATATAATGCACGTGGAACATTGGTCCACTGCCAGCTGTTGGCCAGCTTTCAAACACTGTTCATTTTTTAAAATACTATTTCTGCCCTGCCTTCCCTAGCCACGGACTGTCCACCATCACTTGCCATTCATCTCAGCCTTGTAACTGTGTTATTTTAGTCTCAGTTGCTGTTTTGGGCACCACCTCATCCTCTTGTCTTGGATCTTAAATGTATAGGCAAATCAAACCTCAGTTCTTGGAACTAGCCCCAGGCATTAAAATGTCTGGCCTGTGTCTCTGGCTCTTAGCCTTAGCATCAGTGAGGACACCGGTGTCCAGCAAGCCTTGCCTTTTGAGGGATACTTCAGAATTAAATACCATCAGAGCGAGAGAGTTTTCATATTAGCCTCTTTAGGGACATCCAAGTATTTTTCTTCATTTGGACAGAAATGTAGGGTTGTCAAATGACATGCAGCATTGAGTGATACACTCATACTGTATGGAGGAGAAACTGAGGCACAGAAGGAATGACAGAACCACTAGCCCTACTCTCTATGCCAAGGCTACCCAACACCTTTGTGCCTCTCTGCCCCCTCCTGCAGGTTCATCTTCCCTACTACCCGGCTTGGAGCTGAAAGCCAGTTCAGTGATTTCCTGGATGGGCTGGGACCAGCCCAAATTGTGGGGCGACAGACACTGGCCACACCCCCCATGGGTGAGTGGGGTAATGGTGGCTGCGGGCAGGAAGGGTGAGCTCAATGGGACCCTGCAGTATAGGCCAGCAGAAGCCTTCCCCTGGGCCTTTGAACCAAGGTCGAGGAGTTAGCAGCACATTCACAGGTCCTCTTTTGAGCAGAAAAGACAGGTTTGTGCTGACCTTCCCCCTCCCCCCCAGCAGCTTTTACCATGTCACTTCACTGCCTGCCCCCTCTCCACCTGCTGTATAAAGAAAAATAGTCACTGCATTGGCTGGGGTGAATTCATAAATTCTCCATGTGACCTTTGCACCCTTGGACAAGTAAGTGACTTTCCTCATCTGTAAAATGGAAACAATAAGACCTTCTTGAGTTGTGCAGTAATACCTAATTTATTGTGCTTCTTGTAGTTGCTTCACATGAACTGTTTTAATGTATCCCTTAAGAGCTGTGGGTGATGAGACTTATTATTCCAAACAGTGACAGATACCTGGAAGCTTTTTCATAATTCTCTCTCCTTATTCCTTCCAGCTTGGAAGAACTTCCCCAAAGCCTACCCTTAGTCCACTTGGCTGCAACATAGCTCATTCCAAGAGTTCTCAGGGTCCCTCCCCTCTGCCTTTAGGTTTTAGCTGTGTTGGCCTTAAATGGTCCTTTCTAAGAGCCTTTCAGAAGTGCGTCCTCACTCCCTGTACATCACTCTGGCCTGAGCACTGTTTGATCCACATGTTCAAATGCAGCCCCTATCCAGTGCTTTGGCCCTCACAGCCAAAGAAATCAACTGTAGAGCTTGGATTTCCATTCTTAGTCAAGGCTCCTACTACAGCACAATTTTGTCTTTCTTGGAGGAATACACACAGGAACCTGTTCTGGAAGAGGGGTCCGTGGGGATCCTCAGAGGGTTAGATCAGCTTTCTTCTGGCTCTAGGTTTTGCCTAATTCCTAGCTTTTGCTTTCAGGCTCGTAAGGGCCTGGGGAGTCTTTCTCCCTCCCCAGTTTAGTCATGAAATGGAAAGCCTTGAGAAGAGTGACCCACTTCTACACAGCTAGTGCGCCATCACACTCTAGAATATTTGTGTGTGGTGCCCCCTTGTGTCCTAAATGTGGAAAGACAGGTTTGCATATGTTCTGGATTGGGAATATTGTGGTGAGATGCAGAGATTAAGTCCCAAAACCCTCCCTTCCATGAAAAGGTTACATATCCCTGGAGGGAGGAGGCTGGATTCCAGGGTGCCTCCTGAACATGTAAATCACTGTTCACCCCCATTCTTCCTAGAATGCAAAGTACATGATGGCTAAGATAATCTAAAATGGGAGACTGATGCCAAAGTCTGGCCCACCTAATTTTTCGAAATCGAGTTTCCCTACTCCTTGTTCCAAGTGTCTACTGCCTAATTCTAAATTCTGCGAATCATGATGAACAAAGCTAGGAGTTTCTAGAAATCAACAACATGACTCCACACACAGGATCTGCCCCAACTAGATGACCTGTATTGAGAGTCCAGTGAGTGGTCAGCAATCTGCACTCAAGGGCTGCCAGCTTCCCTTCCCTCCATTGGCAAGGGTTTCAGTCGACCCAGTTCCCAGGTGGTGGCTTGTAGCTCAGCATCTCTTCGCAATGAAATCTTTCAGTATTTGACATATATTAAGGGGAGTGACTAAAGGCTTCTGTGAGGAGGCAGATGAAGAGCCAGAGCCCACAGCGTCCCTGACTTGAAGGCTCTATGAATCTGGCAGCCATCTGTGTGAGCCTAGGTGTGTCCCCTGAGGTCCTGCCCCCTCCTTACTCCAAGAGACCTGTCACAGCATGTCTTAGGCACACCTTAGTCATGCTTGCTCCATCCGGATCCCCTCCCAGGGACCCTGCAGTACCCTCTGTGGACTGGCATTCTCTCCAGTAGCTGCCTCTGCCCAACCTCTGGCTCTGCTCGGACTCTCCCTCTTTTCTTTTGCAGGAGACGTACACATTGCCATCATGGACCGGAGTGGCCAGCTGGAGGTCGAAGTAATTGAAGCTCGGGGCCTGACCCCCAAACCAGGCTCCAAATCCCTCCCAGGTGAGGCTAGATGCTGAGAGAAGGATTTGGACAATAGTCCTGACAGGGAAGGGTGTACATGTGACCTCCCCATCTAGCATGTCCCTAGTCCTTAGCTCCATACTGGACTAAGTCAATAGTGTGTGTGTGAGGAGGTGGGTTGGGGGGAAAGGAGGGAACTCCAAGTCTCATCCTCTTGATTGGCTTTTTTTTTCTTTTTGCTCAAGGCTGGTGCTCTACCACTTGAGCCATGCCTCCACTCTTGGCATTTTGCTGGTTATTTGGAGATGAGTCTCTTGGGTTTGTCTGCCCAGGCTGGCCTCAATTCTCAGACCTTAATTTTCAGATCTCAGCCCCCTGAGTAACTGGGGATATCAGTGTGAGCCTAAATCAGCATTCTTGATCATCATTGGCACCTTGGCTGGAAGGCCAGTGAACAATGTGAGGGCAGAAAGAGGAAGAGTGAGACAGCCTCTCCCACCCGCTATGTACTGGCCAGCTCATTCTACCCATGCTGTTCACCATGCTCAGCCTGTGATTCTGGAGACTGGGGACAAGGCAGGCCTTAGCTGTCTCTCCTAGACTCTCCCTGTCATATTCTCCCTCACTTCTCAGCCACCTATATCAAGGCTTACCTGCTTGAGAATGGGACCTGCCTGGCCAAGAAAAAGACCAAGGTGGCCAAGAAGACCTGTGATCCTCTGTACCAGCAGGCTCTGCTCTTTGAAGAGGGGCCACAGGGCAAGGTGCTGCAGGTGAGTGCCACAGGCAAGTGGTCCAGAAAGCATTAGTTTAAGGTCATTGAAGGTCATTAAAGACCAGAAAGCTTCACTTTAAAAGTTTTTGTTTTTTAAGTCTCTATGTTGGGGCTGGGAAGGTGGCTCAGTGGTAGAGCACTTGCCTTGCATGCTCGAGGCCCTGGGTTCGATTCCTCAGCACCACATAAGAAAAAAGCCGGAAGTGGCACTGTGGCTCAAGTGGTAGAGCGCTAGCCTTGAGCTGAAGAGCTGAGGGACAGTGCCCCGGCCCAGAGTTCAGGCCCCATGACCGGACCCTAAATAAATAAAGTCTCTATGTTGCCAGGCACCAGTGGCTCATGCCTGTAATTCTACCTACTCAGGAGACTTAGATCTGAGGAGTCAAAGTCATCCCCGGCAAGAATGTCCGTGAGACTCTTACCTCCAATTAACCACCAGCAAACCAGAAGTGGTGCTGTGGCTCAAGCGGTAGAACATTCACTTTGAGTTGAATAGCTCAGGGACAGTGCCCAGGCCCAGAGTTCAAGCCCCATGACTGACAAAAAAAAGTTTTTATGTTTCATTCTATGCCAAGCACTGTAACAGGTACATTAATTTTTATTACCATTTATTTTTTTTACCACCCAGTGAGGGTATTCTTGCCCCCCATTGATTTTTAAAATTTTGGGGAGATGGCACTGGGCTTTGTACTCTTGCTTAGCTTTTTCAATTAAGGCTGGTATTCTACCACTTGAGCCACGTTTCCACTTTGGGCTTTTTGCTAGTTAGTTGGAGCTAAGAGTCTTATAGAATTTTCTGCCCAAGCTGGCTTCAAATTGCAATCCTCAAATCTCAGCCTCCTGAGTAGCTAGAATTATAGGTGTAAGCCACCAGTGCCTGGCACTCCTAGTTGATTCATATGGAAGCCAAGGTTCTTCTTTATTTTTTGCTATTATGAACAACTATTATTTTTTGTTTCTAATTGTGAGGCTTGAACTCTGGGCTTGGGTGCTGTCCCTCAGCTCTTTAGCTCAAGGCTAGTGCTCTAACACTTGAGCCACAGCACCACTATAAAGCCATGGTTCTTCTAAGAGTTAATGAAATTGCTCTGCAAGTTGCACAGCTTGTAGGGAGAAGGAGGGTTGTTTGTCCACTTCTATCTTCTCCTACCTGATGCTAGCATTCATTACACCTCAGCTAGGAGCCTGGTTTTGAGTTGTGCTCTCCAGAATGACCTCATATCATTCTGGAGATGATCCTGTGAAAAATATGTGATTCTCTCCATTTTTGAAGCCAGGAAATGGGGTCTCAGAAAGTGAAGTGATTTGTTGGGGTTTCAGCCAATGAATAGTTCAGCCAAGTGGAGCTCAAGCCCAGGTGACTCATCCCAGCTACTTGACAGTGACGTATTCATTAGCACACATGTGGTTGGTCCTTCACAGCATTCCCGTGAGGGAGCTCACTGTGCCCCTTCCATGGAACCTGAGCTCATGGGGGCCTACAGCTCAGAGTCAATGACCCTGTGTTGGGTGAAGGGAACAATGGATCTAGAAGGCCTAATAGTACCAGACACACTAAGTATTAACAATGATGGTGGTGATTGCTGGTAGCCTTGCCTGAGGCCATGTAGGTGACAGAGAAATGGCCAGAGCTGCATCTGTCTGACTTCTCATTTGGGTTGTGTGTTAGCTTTCCAAATTATAACCAAATTGTAACCAAATGCTTGATATACACAGCTTAAAAAAAAAAAAGGTTTGGCTGGGAAGGTGGCTTAGTGGTAGAGTGCTTGCCTCAGCACTACATAAGCAGAAAAAGCAGGAAGTGGCACTGTGGCTTAAGTGGTAGATTGCTAGCCTTGAGCTGAAGAGCTGAGGGACAGTGCCCAGGCCTGGAGTTTAGGCCCACAACAACAAAAGAACTGCAGAACTCCAAAGGGTTCTAAGCCTAGACCCTATATTGGATGTACTAAAAAACATAAGCTTGAAATTCACCTAGCTCAGGCTAGGAATGTGGCTTAGTGGTAGAGTGCTTGTCTGGCATGCACGAGGTCCTGGGATTGACCCCTTAATACCACATAAACAGAGAATGCCAGAAGTGGCGCTGTGGCTCAAGTGGTAGAGTGCTAGCTTTGAGCAAAAGAAGCTCAGGAACAGTGCCCAAGCCCCAGGACTGGCAAGAAAGAAAGAAAGAGAGAGAGAGAGAAATAAAGAGAGAAAGAGAGAAGGAGGGAGGGAGGGAGGGAGGGAGAGAGGGAGGAAGGAAGGAAGGAAGGAAGGAAGGAAGGAAGGCAGGCAGGCAGGCAGGCAGGCAGGAAGGAAGGCAGGAAGGAAGGCAGGAAGGAAGGAAGGAAGGAAGGAAGGAAGGAAGGAAGGAAGGAAGGCAGGCAGGCAGGCAGGCAGGCAGGCAGGCAGGCACTTAGCTAATCAAGTTGCCTCTACTAGAGTCACAGGTGGAAACACTGAGGTCCAGTGAGGGAACTTAGGTAAGACCCACAGTGAAGAAGCAAAGGGCAGCTACAACCCAGGCCCTGGACCCCCAGTCTGCTTCTTCATGAGAAAAGTGGTCAACTTGGATGCTGGGAGGTCTTAGAGCCAGACATGCCCAGACACACCAGGCTGCCACAATTCACTGAGTGCCTTTGGTTTAATGAGCTGTTCAGAGCTGCAGTTTCCCCTGAATAGAAATAATACACAGTACCCCAACTCACGTAGCTGGTTGTACTAGTTGAAATGCAAAGTCCCTAGGACTGAGTCAGGCATGTCTCAGAAAGTTGTTGTCCCAGATCAGTCTGAGTCCTGGCTCTTCCCATCTGTGCCTTGAAACTTGTACGTGCCGGAGCCACTGCCCAGTCCTGTAGTAGGGACGTGGCTCAGCTTCTCACTCTTCCTCCCCGGCTGGCAGGTGATCGTCTGGGGTGACTATGGCCGCATGGACCACAAGTGCTTCATGGGCATGGCCCAGATCATGCTGGATGAGCTGGACCTGAGCGCTGCAGTCACCGGCTGGTACAAACTCTTCCCCACCTCCTCCGTGGCTGACTCCACGCTGGGATCCCTCACCAGGCGCCTGTCCCAGTCCTCCCTGGAGAGTGCCACCAGCCCCTCATGCTCCTAAGGACCTCACTGAGGACGAGAGGCCAGGGATGTTGTATGAAGGGAGCTTGTGGGTCCCACCTCCCCCTGTACATAGTCTGTGTCCTGGGCCCCTCATCCTGCTGCATGCCTGTTGGCTACTGGGCTTGTCCCAGTTGGCAGTGGAGACTGTGGTGTGTGTCTCTGTGTGTGTGTGTGTGTGTGGTGTGTGTGTGTGGTGTGTGTATGTGTCTGTGTGTGTGGTCACATTGTATCTGTTCATTTGTCCAGATATAGTCAATCCTGGTGACCACATGGTCTGAAATCCATGTCTTTGTACCTTGTTGAAAAGAAATCCAAAGGAGTGTTGTATAGACCCAACTCACATCCTGAGTCTCCAGGGGTAGAAGTGGGGGGGTGTGGCCACTGGTTGATCTTGTCTGGCCCTCTGCTTGGGACAGAGCCTGTGTATTCCCCGCCTGTGCCTCCTCTTGGTAGTCTTCTGCTCAGTTTTCTGTCTTGTCTTCCTTTCACCCTTGCCTCTCCCAGTATTGCTGCTGTGTTTGAGGAATGTAGCATCCACTGCAGCTGGCCACACCTGGGCTCCTCTGAGAACCCTCACTCCTCCTCCTTGTCCTAGCCCCTTGACAGCCCTTCTCACTGAATGCCCCCTTGCAGCATGTGGCATGTTCATCAGTTCCCTGGCTAGGGGCCCAGGGGAGCAGAGGATGCCCAGGAAGGGCAGGGCTTTGAAACTGTTGGCTCCCCGGTGCTGGAAACCACTTCCAACAAGCGAGCACAAGGAGGTCATAGTTTCCAGGGGTGCTGGCAAAGACACTCTAGAGGGAAATGCCAGTGATTCCCTTGGTATTTATCCCCCACCTCTTTTCTAGCTGCCGGTCTCCTGTCCTCCAACATGCCAAAGGAGTCTGGGTGGGCCCAGGAGCTTGTCCTTAGAGAGGATGTCATCTGCCAAAATAAGCAGTTCTCCCAGGCCCAAAGGTGGTGGTCCTCACTCTGGGATCATCTCTGAGTGCATGGCTTGCTAAGAAGTGCCCAGGGTAGAGCTGTTTGCCAGGGTAAAGAGGGCTGAGGCTGACTTGTTCTGAGACAGTGTTGAAAACCTGGTCTAGCCTTGTGGATGAGCTGCATGAAGCCGTTCATTGGGCACTGGGGCTTTTGTTTGTTTGTTTGTTTGTTTGTTTTGCTCATTTCCAGACACGGGTCTCTACCTGGAGTTCAGACACACTCAGGCTCCAGCCTGCTGGCTCCATGAAGCCTGCCTCTGAGCGCCAGTCTGCCACAGTCACCAGCTCTGTACAAGCAATACTCCACCCCTCCTGGACTCCCTGCCTTCTTGCCTGCTCCTGCTGCCCTCCAGGGAAGTGGCCTTCATGGGCACCCCATTGCCTCTGCTCTATTGCCCACCCTTGTCTGGTTGGGACTCCTTCCCGCCAGACACCGGTTCCATATGACCACTGGCCCTGTAGTGGGGACCAGTGCCTGGACTGGACCCTGACGTGGCTGCAGGGCCTCCTGAAGTCTGGCTCAGGAATGCCACATCTACCCCTCTCCTTCCTCAGCTCTAGGGTAAAATATGAGGCTTCCAGGAGATGGGAAGAGCCACTCTGGGTCCTTGCCTAGAGGAAGAAGGGGTCCTGGTATAGAAAAGTGCTCTTTCTGCCTCTTCTCCAGCCTGTTTTCAAGTGCTGACATTCCTCTAGCCCCAGTAGCTAGGCAGAGACAACTACTGAGGTAATAGTGGAGATACTGACCTGAGTGCTTGATTTCCAGTTGTACCTAAGTTTCAGAGGAGAATGGGGGCATAAGGCCGGCTCAGTCCAAAGGGCCTCCCTAGGCTGCAGCCTCCTAGGATCCATGGATCCTAGCCCTAGGCAAAATGTGGGTAAGGCAGAAAGGAAATGAACAAAGGTAGTGCCTGCGCCTCCTCCAGGCACTTTTAGAGAAGAGATCCACTGTGGGCACAGAGCAGGGAGAGGAGTGGCCAGGCTGTTTCTTCTTTAGGCAAAAGTTCACACACACTCCCAGTCAGGTTTGGACTGGACTGTGCCCTTAAAAATGGGCCACGGTGCTCTGTCCTCTTTGACCCTAGTAGAGTGGGGACAGAGCAAAAGCTTGTGGGCAAAAGGGTATTTCCGTCTTCTGTTGATGATGTACTCAGTTGTACAGCCATCGTTCTCTGGATGGTATAAAAGTCCACTTTTGGAGTGGGGATAGCATTAGTGAACCACGGATAGCATAGATATTTGCTATTGTAGCACTGAGTCACTCCCAAGAAATGGGAACTGCTAGCATCCTCCTGCCTCTAGGAAGGCACTGGGAGGAGGTGGGAGCTGCCAGCAGAGAGGGTGCCCTTGGGTAGCTCTAGGCCTTGGTGCCCTTGTTTCTGAGGGAAGTCAGCATGAGGAAAGTTCCAGCTTGGGCATGGTGGGGGGGGCACCTGATAGGCTGGAAATTAGGGGCTGACCTGTCTACAATCCCTGGCTTCCAGTCTTCAGTGGAATGCAACTCCCCAAACTTGACCTTGGGGAATTCATCTTTTTTAACTCTTTACACCAAATAAGAATCCCCACCTGGATTTCCACCATGAGGGCGAATGGTGTGAGGCTGTGTATGCATGAGAGAGTGGCTGGATTTTAACTTGTGTTTCTCAGGATCCTAGATTCAGAGGTTGCCTGAGAAACCACTCTGCCTATGCTGGGCAGAGAGTATAGGAGTGTAATTTCTGGCCTTCCCTGGGCAGGGGGAAACAGATCTGCCCTCTGAGGAGGGGATGTGGGGAAGGAAGGAACATGATCCTCTAGGTTCTCCTTTGGCTTCTCGCCCCAGATGAAACCTAGCAGTGGTCACAGGAGAAGACTCATTCTCTGATCAGGCCAGATTTGTCAGGGATGTGGCAGAAACAAAAGTAGCCCTGAAGTGATGTTGAGCTGTGGGCAGGGGCTGAGATAGATGACTCAGAGCATCTGTCTTCATATTTCTGCTCTGCTCAGTCTGTCCCACTTTCCTAAGAGACTTCTACCCTACCAGGAAGTCTATGATGGGCCTTTGCTATAAAGCAGGCTCCAATAAATGAGCCAAGTCTTGGTTTGACAGTGAGGATTTGATCTTTCAGGGAAGAACCATCTCTGAAAGTCCCTCCCCATGCAGTCTCTTCTGCCACCCAGTTCTAGGAAAAGGGCACTTAGGAGGTTCTCGGGATCCACCAGGTCCCAGGCAATGCCAGCCTTTTCTGGGGCTGAGGCAGAAATGAGGAGAACTGCAGAAAGAGATCCCGCAGATCGCCTCTTACTTGTGGAATCACTGCCGAATGGAGTGCTGAGGTCAAGCCAGCTTTCCTGGGGGCTGGCCTCCCACCAGGAAATCGTCTGAGCTCTCTTCTGTACTGCCAGCCTCGAGGAGAGCAGAAGCCTCTGTTTTTAAAGACAATATAGCCCTCTAAGGGCACTTCTTTGGAAATGAAATGTAGCACAATCTAGACTGCTTTACCATGAGTCCTGACACTTCTAGGGGCCTCACTCCAGGCCCTGCTGCCCAGGAGATGCTAAGCTCCTCTTCCCAATACCTCAATGTTCCCCCATCACCCTTGGCCTAGAAAGCAGCAGGGCCTTAGTAAGGCTGCTCTTCTGTGTCTCTGATTGCTTCTAGCACTGTGTGAACTGTGTAAGAAATTGCTGCCTTTGTCTGATGTTGTGGCTGAGTTGCTCTCCACCAGGGTGGGGAGACATGGCCCTCCATCCCGGGGCCAGAAGCTTATGTGGCAGCATTTCCGCAGTGGCTGCAGGGAAGTAGAAAACAAGAGGGCTGCATCCCTGCCTCCTCCTCCATATTTCTTCCTTTCTTCAGAGTTGTCTTCTTCAATGGCCTGACATGTACAGAGGTTCTTTAGAATGCTGCTCCCTCTACTGGATTGTCTTTCAGAGAATAGTCAGAGACATCCCCTGCTTTCTCTCTCCAGTCTGCTTCACACCCAGGTCTGAAGAGACTGGGGCAGAACACAACAACCAGGATCACTAAAGCAGGGGAGCTCCATACAATCAGATGTATGGGGCTGGTGGTGGTTGGATTGGTCTGGTCTGTCTGGGAAAGGGTTATTTTTAAAAGAGTGCCTGAGCATCTCAGAGCAATGTCAGTGATGCCAAAGAGAGCAACTTGGCCTCCTTGGGCACCAACTCTGCCGGTGGAGATGTTGGCATGCCTAAAAGTGGGACCTTGTTCTCTGACAAAAGGGCTTAATCTTCCCATGTAGCAAAGCAACTCTCCCCTCTCCCTCCCCCCCCATCCCTGAGCTTGGGCTTCTGCAGGCCCAGCATGGCTGTGCCTGTGAGGAAAGCTACATCAATGAGAGGAACTCATACCCTCCCAGGGGCCTAGACTGGCTTTGGCAGGTGCTTCTTGAACAGCATGTTACCGCTTGGGAGAAACCTTCCATGGATCTGGCTGGAAACTTGGCCTGTAAGAACAGAGCCTTAAGCCTCCCAGGGAGTTCACACTGATGCTAGGAAGGGTCCCTAGGATGGGTTCCAGACCGCTTGGCTAACATAAAGGGGGCCTGGGAATTCCAGGGACAACTGAGCATCTGTTATATTAGCCAATGACCTGGACAGGGATAGCTGTTCTGTATCATTTTGCCAGAAACTGTGACCTTGTGTAGGATTTCTCCCTTTGCTGGGTCTCAGCTTCCTCATTTGTAAAATCAGAGCATGAGCTAGTTGTTCCAGGTTCCCTCCTGGTTTTATAAATCTCTGATTGGGAGCTGTTGAGGGTGGCGAGCCTGGCGCCTCTGGCAGCTGGTTCTATGGATTGACTTCATCTAGCCTCTGGTGCCCAAGCTGGGTGCAGACTCTCATCTGGTTCACACCCAGATGCTGCCTCTGACAAGAACTCTGGGAGTCCTAACAGACTGCTTTCACCAGTCCATGGTTTGTTCTTCCTCCTTTTCTCTATTATGATGAGAAATAATTAGGGGTTGTCTCTAAAGGACAATTTTCAAGGTGCTGATGTGATATCACAATCTCAGCTGCATCCTGAATAGGTCCGTGTTCCCACAGCAGATAAAGCTGGGTCATCCTCACCTCTGCTTTCAGAGGACACAGGACAAGATAAAGATCTGAGAATTCTAAAGGAAATGCTCTCTGATGGGAGGAGAGAGGGAACTTACTTCCCCTCCAAGTATTTTGTTCTTTAAAACCATTCCTCCCTCCCAAATGTCTTTTACCAAGTATCATCTCAGAAGGCAGAGTGGCTGTTTCCTTTGGGAAAGTGGGCCCGAGAGTTCTACCAATTCCTTTAGCATGTAAACTCACAGAAGGCAGGAACCCCTTTTTTAGAATTTCCAAATGC